TATGGACTATAGCCCAAAGTATTAGATCGGAGGGGCATTTTTAAAATCGTTGTTTAAACAATCAATAATAAATGTTTTTGTTCGACAAAAATAGTGAAGAAAGTCAACTTTCGGATATTGTAAAAGATGGATGATTTTCAAGTATCTTTTTTTGTGAACAATCATTATTCCATTTTCAAATAAGATCATTTTTAGCTTTGGGGCTTTGGGGCATTTTGACACCTTTTGAAATAATATGCATTAATTATGAGGGATAAAAAAGGTCATTTTTGGCTATTTTAAGGCAAAAACATGGACTATAGCCAATGGTTTTGATAGATTTTGGACCATTTTCACACCTTTTGTAAAGATATGCATTATTTATGAGCCATGCAAAATGGCAAAACTATAGACCATGATTTTGTTCGATTTTTGGCCATTTCCACAGCTTTTGAAATAACATGCATTATTTAAGAGGGATTCAAAATAGGTCATTTTTGGCCATTTCAGTCGGGCAAAAAGCATGGACTACAGCCCAAGGTTTTGATCGATTCTGGGCCATTTTCACACCTTTTAAAAAGATATGCATTACAGTCGACTCTCCCTTAAGCGACCAACCCGGAGCTAGGAGAAAGTGGTCGTTTACGGGAGATGGTGGCTTACGAGAGAGTTAACACAGGAAGCCCAAACAATGGTAATCCTAACACAGGAAGCCTAAATGATTTATAATTTGTAACTCACGCGTTACAACTATTGTATTAACGATTAAACTGTTTTAGTAAACTGTGCTATATGTTTACAGTACTATAATTGTCAATGTTTCGTCGGGTTTTTAATACCCGATGACTCTATGTTCTTAAATGTTTTATTGTTAAAGGATCTGTCATTGACTGGCTCTTGTTTGGTCGCTTACGAGAGAGTAAAAACAATGAACATTTCCAAAATTTTAACCCCAAAGGTGGTCGCAGTCGCTTACGAAAGTAGTCGCTTACGAGAGAGTTTTTTTACAGAGTTTATATGGGGAACAAGACGGGGAATTCAAAAAATGGTCGCTAACGGGAGATGGTCGCTTACAAAAGTGGTCGTTCAAAGACAGTCTACTCTATTTATGAGTCATGCAAAATAGGTCGTTTTTGGTCATTTTAAGGCAAAAAGCATGGACTATAGCCCATGGTTTTGATCGATTTTGGGTCATTTTCACAGCTTTTGAAAAGAAATCTATTATTTATATAGGATACAAAATAGATCACTTTTAGCCTTTTTCGGGCAAAAAGCATGGACTATAGCCAATGGTT